ATTTGGACCTTGAGATTTCAGTCCGGTGCTCCAATGTGGGTCTCTGTCTCTGTCTCTGTCTCCTTTCATCGCCTGATGAAGGTTAATATTCAGGAGGATGCCTATATGTTTTTCTTTGGGTTTTCCTTCTTATTTAGCTTCTCTAAGAACCCGAATTATAGGCTCAATGTCCTTTATTTATGGCTAGAACCCAAATATGAGTGAGTACATCCCATGTTCCTCTTTTTGGGTCTGGCTTACCTTACTCAGGATAGTGTTTTCTATTTCCATCCATTCGCCTGCAAACTTCAAGAAGTCCTTGTTTTTTACTGCTGAGTAGTACTCTAATATTAGGTTCAAACTTTAGCTGTCTATTGACTTTGTACTAGATGAACATTAGGATCCTATCATGGTGGGGAACTTAGCATATGTTCCTCAGAATATCAGTGGATGGAATCATTTCTGATCTGTGGGAACACTCAAGATGTCTAGACAGAAAAGTAGCCATCTAAGCATTGGTAATGATACCAGGTAAATATGGGACAGATCATCTTTATGTAGACCAGGACAAAATACAGGCGAGACTGGTACTAAGCATGTAGCTGATAGCTGGTTTATGATGGTATTCTTCTGTTTAGTTCCACTTCTTTTATAGATTTGCAAGCAGGCATGGGAAATGGAGTTCAGCCGACTACAAGTTAAAAGAGTAAATGTTGTTTTTGTTTGTTTGTTTAACCTAAAGTAACGTTTAGGGTGATTGATTTTTCTGTAATAACACATCATCCTCTGATGATTACCTCTAAAATAGAAAAGGATGCTGCCTTAAGTTCACATGATAAACTCGAACTTTTGATCATTTTACTCCGCCTTCCTCATATCATAAAAACATAGAGATATATAAGCTTTCTATTTGGTTATTATACTGAACACATCTGCATTGCAGGTAATTATGTCTAGTCTACGATAAATATTTCCACATGTTTTTTGTTCCACGTAAAAACTGATAAACCCTATGATCATTTCAATTTTTTATTCATTTGAATTTAGTACTGATATACACATATATATATACTTATAAACATGTATATATGCATATATGTTGGCTGCACAATTAAACTGCACAAGTGCGTATTTATAACTGTGAGTGTTTGAATTATTTTTAAAGACTTGAGGAATGTGAACTGCCTTATACAGGTAGGCTAATGATCTTAAAATTTATTAAAATAGTATTTGGGGTCAATTAAGTGTTTTATAAAAACCTTAACATGTTATTTGTTTATATAAGACACCATTCATTGAAATTGAAGGAATAAGGACTATAAAATTTAATATTAATGCACATAGATTTTGATAAGGATGTTCTTCCAAAACAGACTACAATGAAAAATTGATTAGAATTCATTTCAATTGATTAATTAATTAATGGTCAAGGAAAAAATAAGAATTATATGTCACACAATGCTTTAAGTTTATCAAGAGGCCTCTTAGCAACATATCTTAGAAACACTTATTAAAATAAATTGTCTTCAAAAATATCCCTAACATATAAGTAAAAATTCTAATAAATGCTCTTACTGAGCTGTAATACACATAAAAATGACATATTTCAAAAATCTCATTTTTAAATTTTCCTTTCCATGATTATGATTTCGGGAGAGAGATAGAATCCCAACAAACAGTCACATTCAAAACTCATACATGTTCTATCGGGAACTCACCAAGGCCAGCTGGCCTGGATCTGAAAAAGCCTGGGTTAAAACAGGTCTCACTGAACATAGTGGACAATGAGGGCTACTGAGACCTCAAGAACAATGGCAGTGGGTTTTTGAGCCTACTGCACGTATTGTCTTTGTGGGAGCCTAGGCAGTTTGGATGCTCACCTTATGAGACCTGGATGGAGGAGGGTGGTCCTTGGACTTCCCACGGGGCAGAGAACCCTGATTGCTCTTTGGGCTAACAAGTGAGGGGGACTTGATTGGGGGAGGGGGAAGAAAAGGGGAGGTGGCGGTGGGGAAGAGACAGAAATCTTTAATAAATTTAAAATAAAATAAATAAAAAAGCAAAATAAAAAAACTCATATATTTCAAAGTTCTTATCTCTTCCAATTTAAACTGAAGAAAAAAACATTATTTTAAAAGCAGACTGTCAACGACTGCTCAACCTGCCTAAAGTCTCATCACTGCTCAGGGTAAATTCTGTGTTTTTAAAAATCAAGTTTTCTCCTTAATATTATCTCAAACCTTTAAGAGGATACATTTGCTTAGAGAAAATTTATTTATTTGCTTAGAGCTATGAAAATAAAACCAAATGGTGTAACTTTAAAACTGACAAGTTACAGATCTAAATAAAAGCTACAAAAATTAGATTTTACAACAAAGAATCCACCTTCAGTGACAGCTATGTGCATCTATGGACTCTCTAGAAGCTACTTGGATTTTTAAGCCCTGTACATAGTAACAAAGTAGTTTATTAGTAAGTGCAAATTGTAATTACCAAATTAAACCCAAATTCTTCTCAGCGCCTAGTGTAACTGTTATTTGAAGGGAAAAGCCACAACTCCAAAGGTCTATCTAGTTAAGCTTGCAACAGAGCAGAGCGGAGAGCTCTGACCATTAGGAGTAGGGCCTGATCCAACTGGAGGGAGTGGCTAAGCCCTCTAATTACAGAGGGAGGGTTGGGCCTATAAAGGCGGGGTGTCTGTGCTCTCTGGGTCTTAGGGCCTCCAAGGGATATGATGGGGTGTCATCGGAAGAGGACTGGAGTAGATTATTTGAGAACACTATAACATTAGGAGCCCTGAGCCTCAGCTCAGACCCTCATTTCTCTGAAGAGTCCACTTGATGCCAACCATGTTCACTGCCTTGGGCTCCCTGGTGACCACCATCTGGGCAGTGCTCCGTCTCCGGACTCTCTTGCTGGCTGTTGTCACCTTTCTTTTCCTGGCTGACTACCTCAAAAGACGGCACCCCAAGAACTTTCCACCTGGTCCACGATGCCTGCCCTTCATAGGCAACTTATTGCAGTTGGACATGGGGCAGCCGCACATGGGGATCCACCAGGTAGGAAGGTACAAGATTGTTTGGCTCTGAGCTGGCCTAATCCTGAGCTGGTGGATCTGCGACTTCTGGGAACTGGGGGCTGTGGGCGGGCAAGCAGGGCTCCAAGGCTCATGCTTCTGGTCCCTAAGCCCAGGACAAATACCTTCTAAAGATGCACTTTTAAGAAATATGCAGCTCAGGACCAGGAGAGACATCACTGGGGTGAGTGAGTTTCTGACCGCGGCAGCAGCCCAGGACAGGGAACTCAGACACCCCTCCTACACTTCCTGGTCATCCTCAGGGGCTACTCTGCCTGATACTTCCTCTCTCTTTCTATCCCACCCAGCTTGCATCCACAACCCTACCCCCCCCCTCCGTCTGAC